GGCCCAATATCCATGTGCTGGACACCTCGAGCCCACAGACTCTCCGACGACCGCTGTAGTGCAGCAGGCACGAGCGATCACCGAGCTACGGCGGAGAAGGCTTGACGAGGTATTAGTGACGATTCCCACGATGAGCTTGGCCACAAGCCAGGTGACTCCCATGCAGTCAGCAGCACTGCCCGCACAGGTGATGGAGACACCGATCCCGCTGTGACAAGACGCGGGGGCACCTGCGGTCAAAACAATGCCCGACCCATGCAACAACCCGCTGCTGGACCGACTGGAACAGCAACACGCAGAAGTGGGTGCGAGACACCACCGTCGGCCCCGCTCGGTCACGAGCCGCGGGAACCGTGTTGATTTCCCGGTCAGCGCTTGTGCTCACAGTCGAGATGACGTGGACATGGACGCGGCTGTGGAAAGGGAAAGGGCAACGTATGAGCATACCTCCACGTACATGCTGCAGGATACCACGCCACAACTGCATAGGACGGTCACGTCCGACAGGAGCCACCTACGCTTCTGGACAGCGCCCAATATGCTACACGGATTCTGGGTCAAGAACCGATCACTCGTGAAGAGAACAATGCGTACAATGCTAAACCGTGATTCCAAGACGATGCATTTCACGAGGAACCAGTGGTTCATGCATCAGCGACGGCTCGAAAAGCAACTGAGAGCTAAGACCCTGCAATGGACCGCGCAGATTGGAGGCCAACGGTGGTATGCCACAAAAAAGCTGAACACGTTGATCCCCAACAGGTTGAGCCTGCTCGTAGATATGGGTTCGAATATCCACATCATTGGCATCAATGCGGCAAAGGATTTCGACCGCCAAGCACAATAACGGGGACACAAGTGACGGGCAATGGATTTGACCAAACTAATCTACGTCAATTGAGTAGGGAGTGGCTCAGCAGTGTTCCGAACACTTGGCACCTTCCATATTGCTTGCCAATATCACCACCAGGACTGGTCGGACACGACCAGGATGTGGAACGCTTCGTCGGCAATCTAGCCGAAGGCTCTGGCAAGGATCTCCCCGCAATCCTTGGTCCCACCTCCAGGCAATCCAAGAAGGCGGTGCTGTTGCTGGATGAGCGCCGCAAGCGAATCCCCTTCCCAGGCAGCCACGCCTATAAGCTGCAGTTGGGACAGGGGGCCAAGGTGATCCAATTCGAACAGACACCATCTGGACACATGACCATCCCGTGCCCAGACTTCGGGGAGGCCGCTCCAACTCCTGCGAGGAGCGATTTGGAAGAGGAGGCCGTTGCGTATGTCAGTGATGGGCTTGGAGTCCGCGACGGCATCGAGGCCGACCGCATGCGCGGACTGACGAGCCAGGCCTCTGGTGCTCCCCGAGGTCCAGCTCAGAACGCAGCTGATGCTGGAAGCCAGGGCGCTGGCGAGTTTAACGAAGATTGCCTGAGCCGCTTCCTCGACAGGGCTACCGACGATGTCGTTGCCGATATGGTGGTCAGTACGACACGGGACCGCTGCTATTGCTCGGGTCGCCATCTCTTGGCTCTTGCAGGATAGAGTGCGTCCAGCGAGAACCATTACTAAACCAAAGAGCCTTCAAACCAGTGCTCTTCGGAGATATTTGTGCCTGCGCCGGCATTTTTGTTTGCGTCGTGCTGCTGCTGCTGGTCGTGTTTTCATGCTCGTGCCTCAACATGTGTCGAGATCGTTCGCTTTCTGCGTCACTTTTATCTTGATGTTCTGTTGTGCCATGTGGCCCGCGATATCTTTCGAAAAGACTGTTGCCCGAGATGATCCATCCAGCTTCTTTTCCCCAGCCATCCTGTGGTGTTGGGTCTTCGTTTTGACGAGAATCGCCCCGCGTCCCTCACTCCCGCTTCCTCCTCCCGCTCCTCCCTCCTTCCATCCCTGCCTTTGCCCTCCGCGCTAATCAACAACCATTTCGGCACACCCTTCACACGTTTCTTGGCCTTACCGCGCACGTCAACCATGGCGGCACACCCCTCACACGATTCGTGGCCCCATACGGAATTGCGCAGGAGGCCGCAGTGGCTGCGCTCGCATGGCACCACCACCCCCGTTTCGGCTCGCCACTCACACGCTTCGTGGCCCCGTAGGGAACTGCACCGAAGGGTCCCAGTGGCTGCGCCCGCATGGCACCACCGCGCCCATATCGGCACACCCCTCACACGTTTCGTTGCCTAATATGAACCACCGAAAATTCAATTGGTTGCGTTCGCATTGCGCCACCGCACCCGTTCGGGCACAAAGATTCCTATGGCTGCGCCCGCATGGCACCACCGCGCCCAATTCGTCACACCCCTCACACGTTTTGTGGTCCCGTAGGGAGCTGCACCGAGGTCCCCAGTGGCTGCGCTCGCAAGGCACCACCGCGCCCACTTTGGCACACCCCTTACACGTTTCCACCGAAGGCCTCGTGGGAGCGCCCGCATGGCACCGCCGCGCCCGTTTCGGTTCGCCACTCACACGCTTCGTGGCCCCGTAGGGAGCTGCACCGAAGGGTCCCAGTG